GCACTGCATGTGGATTCCTACTGTATCGTGCTCAAGCCCACTGTGCTAAAAAGGGATTAGGCGCGCGTTCCTTGCACATGGCTTAACGGATAACTGCCATTATTAATCCTGTGTGCGATTCTGGTAACTATACCCTCGGCTCCAAGCGCAGGAAGGCGATACTTGACCGTCTGACGACGGCCTTGGCATGGGCCTTGGAATAGCATGAACCTTAAATCCTAAACCCTAAACGCCATACCCCTAAACCCTTTTTAAAAACAAAAGCTAGCTTCTCCAAAGCGTCGTTGGAGTCTTGGCTTGAGGCATCTTGGCATTTTTGATTCATCTTGCTGTCGTTGACCCGTGGGTGCCGGTATGGGAAACCGACTTCTGAGAAACGTCTTTGCTCCCATTTGAGATTTAAGGTTAGGGCTTTGCGCGTTAGATGCCTGAAGGTCCACATGTCAGCAAAAGACCACCGCTGAAGACGGAAAACTACAACCCCAAAAGGAATTTCAGCCTATGCTTTGTAACAGTACCCCAGGAACCAGGCCAGAACCGGGCAAGTTGAAACGAGCTCATGTCAAGTTAACGAGCTCACCCACAGTCCTAGTTGATTTTGCAATGCACTTCTGAATTAAAAGTCGCACAGCAAAAACAAGTATAACTCCAATATAAACCCCCATATACTATATTAGTTTCCATTTTCTTTTCCATTATCCCAATATGAAACCCTGCCCCAGGGCGGGGAATGTTTGAAGCTGAGGTCTGGGAGCAGCTGACACTGCAGGAGCTCCGCCGCGAGTGCCAGGCGCGTGATGTTGGCGGCCTCAGCTGTCACCGTTCACTCCCTGGTCCCTCGCTGCTTGCAAGTAGGGGACGAAGAAATAGAAAGGATAGGGAAACCTTAAGTCATTCCCCCATACAGTAACAGTTACCACAATGGATAATGGGAATTATACTAACCCATTAATAAAGCCCCCCTTAAGGACAGGTACTGGGAGGGGGATTAACCCAAGGGAAACCACTATTTAGGGCTCAGGGTTGGGGTTTAGGGTCTGAGGCAGGAAACGAAGAATTTAAATGAGAAATGACATGATAACCTGCGGGTATTCAGAACTGCAAAACTGGTTTGGGGTTTAGGGTTTGCTCGCTGGTGGCTAGCAGGGAGCGACGGAAGGGAAAAGAGCATGGAACCTAGTACTTTGACTTTGGGGATCGGGGCTGAGGCATAGAACAGAAAGTCAAAACGGTTCTATTCTTGGGGGTCATACAAAGGCTACTCTGGGAATCCATTGCTCCATTGCCCCGTGGCAACCTTATGGAGAAGTGTATATGTCGGGTTAGGCCCCCACCCAACAAGAGGGGTACAATGGGACCATACAGGGAGCCTACTGAAATTTACATTCTCCTTTGTGGCCACCATGAGTTGGTTACAGGGAACGCGAGGAGTTGATGGGGGTTTCGCTTCCCCTCGGGAGTCTATGAGAATTACCTCTGGGAAGCTCCAATATGAGCAGTTCTCCAGATGATAGCTGTGTCGCCCCTAAACCCTACAGTAAACCGCCAAACCCTAAACCCTAAACCCCAGACAGTACTTGCGGTGCCTGCTCTGAGCGATGCGCGTGTCTAAACCCCAGACCTTTGACCCTAAACCCTAAACGACGGGCAAGGCCCCGCAAATTCCACAAATTAGGACCCTGCAAGAGACATATGACAGCTATAAAGTCCTAACTTTCAAGGTGCCGAATTCCTCTCAGTAAATGCTCCGTGCAGTGCCAGACGTTTTTCTTGCCATTTATGTTTCCAAGGCTGCACGAGAAGCACAGTGGGATCGAAAAGGAGATACCGCTTTTGGGGTATTCACTTGCCTGCCCCCCATGCAGGTTTCGCTTCCAAGGACCACGAAGCCCACTAAAATCGCTGTTTTCCCACGTGTTCCCCAAGCCTCCCCTATGCTGAGAACTCCCTGGTAGGCTTCCTTCACCTGACTGAAGCACCACAACCTTAAGCCATGAATCCTCACTTGCTGATCCAGGCAGCGAAGAAGCCCTGATGCAAAACCAAGACTCCTAAAATCTGAGCTCAAAATCCCAAACTCTATACCCCTGAGCCCAATCCCTCAACACTCAACCATCTTACTAGGGTTCAACCACAAAAGATTGGTCAGTTTAAGGCATTCCAGGAAGGGAGTTGCCATGCAGGGACCTTATGTATCCCTTACGTAACTCTCCTTTAGGGTTTAGGGTTTAGGGTACAACCCTACCCCTCCATGAACTCCCGCCGAAACTCCCCTGTTGTAGTTCGTCCTAATGCAACCCCAAGACAGACCCTAACCCAAAAACCCCAAACCCTCATCACTAAAGACTGTAAGCCCGAAACCCTTCACACCCCAAACCCGAATTCTAAACCCTAAGCCCTATAAGCCCTAGAACCTAAACCTTAAACCTTAAACCCTAAACCCTAAACCCTAAACCCTAAACTGAACACTAAAAACGCAGCTCAGGTGATCTTCACAGGGCTCCGCAGTCGGAGTGAAGCGGAACAGCGACAGGAGTCTGGGGGCCCGGCATCAGGCTCCATATGAGCTCCTTAAAGGGGGGCAGGGCCTGGGTTTAG